ATCGTATGTGGTCAGCAGATTAATGTGTGACTTACAACTGAAACGTGCATCTTTTGACTGTATTCATTTCAGTTCATTTGATAAACGATGTGTGAACATTTAGAAACTGCCTAGAAAATGGTACTTTTCGAACGTCTGACCCCCAAATTAGTGTATTTTCATGATGGTTGCTCGTCAAGTAAAGAGCAATTTCGTCAACGCCATCCCAACGCTCCTTTGGCATCATTAAGAGGTTTGAAATAATATTCGAAATTTTACTCTCTCATCAAAATATCACGTATTTGTTTCGCTGTTGCAAAGCGATTTTATATTCGAATTTTCAGTTCTTAATCGACGTGTATTGGAAATCGATGAATCAGATCGATTTCCACGTATATTAATTGTCCGCAAATTCGATATATTTTGTTTCGTAATCTCAGCCCTTTCCTACGTTCTCGATATTGGCTTCGATGTAATAAGCGCCTATATACATTTTCGTGCTCAACGAGTGAGTCCATTGCAATATTTTCGACGTATACATTTCTTGAGTGTCTCTTCTTCGAATGAGCAAAAACAAATCTTTATTAATTATGTTAATAGTCATTACACGTCGGTTTGTTTGCTTTGCAGTTTTGGGCTTTCACATTTATATCTTTACTGATCGTTTTACCGTCGATCGCTTTAAATACGATCTCATTCGTTTGGTGGATTGATGATAGTCGACTCGCATCGAGTAGTTATCGAGAAAGAAACGACACTCAGACGACAACGACAGCACCAATCTGTTGCTCGTCGGTTGAATCCTCGTCCTTATCGCTTCGTTTGTTCGCGTGTTTTTTTCAGGTCTCTTCCAAACATCGTATATCTTCGTTTATGAGTATTTCCTGCGAAACCCCTACATATACGTATTTAATTTCGTCTTTCCCTTTTTAAGCTGCCAATCATTTCGCAGAAATTTTCATCTATCTCATGTGAATGAAGATTTTTGTTAATAGCATATTCCTTTCATGAATACGTCATAGCTTGTACAACACAGTAAGTGATTACCACTTTGGTTCCGTTCAAATACTTTGCGAATTCAGTTAGGACCTGTACTTTGGTATGTTGATGCGATAAAGGCAGCTGTCAGGTTTCGTAGAGCTTCAAATGATCGACAAAGACGTTATTTCTATCACAAAATGGCTGAAGCAGATCGTGATGCATCCCTGCTGAGGTGAGATTAAACAGAAAAAGGACTACATTATAGACTCGTTCGTCCATATGAGTGATCGAGTCGCATGTCTATGTTCTTTTGTTCTTCTTGCCTGATATCTTATGTGTTGTTTTTCGCTCCATGATTTCTCTATTTTTCAGGTTTTTTGAGGCATTTCTAGAGTCTGCTCCTCAACTTTTAATACAAGGTGTTGTTCTGGCACATTCTCTTTGGTGGTTACAGTCATCCGAACCGATTCAACTATGGAGTGAGTTGTTGTGAATTATTCGAAGACTTTATCTGAATGCACCGATCAGCAGTTATCTCTCATTTGCATATTTAAACTGGTTCAAGTTTCACGAAAATTGAATGCATGTACGTCACTTTCAGTGTATTTTCAATTGCTTTCCATAATCATGTCGCTGCTATCACTTTGTTGGTCAATTTGTATTCAGCATAGAAGTTTGCGAATCGCTCGGCCTGATAAGCTTAATTTATCACCATTCGAAACATTCCTGCAGGTGCATATTATCACTTCCTTATCATTATTGTCGCATAATATTATCGTTTTTTGCCACTATTATTTTCATCATGCTTATCATATAGTGTATGTGTTTATTGCGCTGTTGTTTTATGATAAGATAAACTAAACTCTGCAGTTATTATGGCGTTGCTTAACGATCTCCGCACGTTACCTGCTATTGGTACTATTCGTTTTAGCATTCCGTTTTTGGACCGCACTACTTATCCTAGTTCATTTTTGTTTATCACTGCTGCATATTGCCGCACTTCAGGTGAGTTCTACAGGTCAATTTCATTAATTTTGGTTCCCTTCAAACGCTTCATACTTAAGGTATGTGCATATAAGTATTTGTGTAGACGTGTAAGCCTGTGATAACATGGTGTATTGTAAATGTGTGTTGCCGTTAAGCATGTTGATTCACAACCAAGTGTCGTACCGATTAAGTATGGTTTGTTGTTAATTTGTGCGATCGTACATCTATTCACGCCGTTCAATATGGCCGAAGGACCGACACGTTGGCGTTATACAATCGCATATCTCATTGAGTTCGTCGAAAATTTGGTAACAGCTTTTCTTCATTTTGCAGTGCTGAAAACAATGCTGTTTGGGTATCAGTCAACTTTGCTGTGCACAAGGTTCAATGACATTGTTGTACACATCGTGTTGTTTAGACGGTTTTTAACTGAAGTGCACCGTCTTGATCTGTATAGAATACTGATTTGTTTACAGATGATGGCAACGATGTTATTCAGCACCGAGCAGTTCACATATCCTTATAAACGAACTGTCGTTTTGTTGGCTTTGGGAATGTTCCTCTGTGGAATTCTCATCATGATTGTTTATTATTCCCGGTGGCATCCGGCAGGAAGGAGTGCCGTTATCAGTGCTGCTGATAAAAGCAAGAGTAATAGTGATGGTAAAAACACCGTTGGTAATCCGCGTGCTGATTTTAATGTGAATGTTGACGACATGCAAGCTGTTTTTTCTAGTTCTTCGACCACCGATGCAGTCGTCGAGAAAACGGAAATTTGCGCAGCTCTGAAATGTTCGAACTCAGAAAAATAGGGTAGAAGCATTATTTACGAATGAAATTCATTTTAAATGTATCGCTATTTATTTATTCATCTATTTATTATGACTATACATTCCACTAAACCACCAGAGCATTACTGCGCTCCGAGTGGTTACGATATCTGCAAGTAATTTTGCATTTATATTTACTTCTATTAAACATGCGCCTATCCTGGAACATTTATAATTATTGTATTTATCGTTATCAATGTCAAATCACTCACGTTCTACCTCCTTTTTTATTTCTTGTGGTGCTTCTTTTTCGTGTATTATTATCGGTTTTTGGCGTTGACTGTGCGTTTTATGGTGCTATTTTGATTCTTTTTTTTTATTATTTCATGTTTTACTTGTATTTTGAACGGAAGCTTCGAATCATTTTGGTCTCGGAAATCGTTTAATGATTTTTTGCTCCTCATTTTGTTGTATCGTATTATTTCATTCAAACTTCGCACTCGCTTCATGTGTGATGTGTATCCATTTGCTTGTTTATTTATTCATTTATAATTTTATTCACTTGTTCGTCCATTCTTTTTGAATCGTATTGTTTGTTTATATCAATCATTTTGATTATGCTGTATTTTTATTCAAGTTTGAATGTGCTCATTAATTCAATTATCATATCACTAACCTGATAACAAGGAATTGCGATGTATGGAAGATGTGCATTATTATAGAAGTATGTAAACTGTTAATTGCTAATGCAATAAAGAAGATGGGTATTGCTGTTATGAATGATTAATATTGCTGGTAAGTAGCAGCATGGTGTTGTGATTGTTATTGTAATTATGTTAACATTGCCACTATAATTATTCTGTTCGAAAATAACATCACATTGGAATAGATAAAACAAAAACATCGTATGCAATGAGCAATAAATAATTACAAATAAATCAAAAGGTTTAATACATGAAAACATGTAACATGCATCATCATACAAGTGTGCCGCAACAAATTCAATCTCTTATGAGAGGGCGGTTAAGGACATAAAGGTGATAATGGGCTACCGCTCAATCGAAATCCCACCGCATGTGGTCTTGCACATCGTTGTCGGGTCGGGTCGATTTGACTCCATTTTGTCTACAATTTCAATAGATTATCATCATTTCCCACCGATCAGTTCAGATTATATATATGTTACCGTAAAGAGATGAGATGGTTTGAAGATAGCGAACACTTCAAGAGTAACGCTTATTACAGTCACTATGGCGTCAACAACAGTCAACTGTGTGTGTATCATTCCTTATCCGTGTAGTCCCCCCAACGACACCACTTTTCTCCAGCTTTTGAATCACTTTACCGCTGTTAATCGCCTGTTTCACTAACTCATCGATCAACAATACACTTCATTAACACTTTTTTCAATCAGTTGATGACCATTGCATTTGGACTGCGTCCGCTGTCAACCTTTATGAATTCAAATTTTTGACCAACTATAAAATCCAGAAACACCCGTACAAATATACACAAATACGTTATTTTCGGTGACAATGAAGAGATTGCGCCTTGCTTTTTCTCGCACTGTCAACAAGCCACGCTTTGACCAGTGGTACTTAACTGGCAGATTTGTGTGCAGTTCGGTAAACAGTAATCCAACTTTGTGCAAAATTTGACTTGATCGGTTCGTTTCTCAATTAGAACTGCAGATAAGAGTGATAGGTAAGTGTAAGGATTCTTTTATGTGTATGTACTGAGAATGAATGAATGCCGTGAAGTAGCTAAGCGGACAGCTGCTGACTAATGTTTTGGTGTGTGTGTATGTAAGTTGAAAATAAACTCATATTGATGTCAAAAATAATGATGATGATGATTATGAAATGTGAAAGATGTTGTCTCTTGATGTGTCAATCAAACGTTTCATCGATAACGAGTTGGTAATACGTTCGGTGTTTTTAAATAAATATTTTCATTATTTACATAAATGCACAACATCATCGTTCCGTACACTTTTCATTCATTTGAACGTTTTTCATTTCAGAGACACAAAATGAGCCAATAAACTGAGTTGAAATAAAATGGGAAATTGATGATACCAGTTTCACTTATTTCTTGATAGTAGCGATTATGGTGATAATTTTGTTGTGAAGAAGACGAATGCAGGCAAGGGAGAAGGGAAGCATTTGCTCGTTGCTCATAATGACAATAAAATGTGATTGATTGCTGAAAAGTTGAAGAATGAATGTGATTTGTTACTGCTGCTAATGCTCGTGCAACAAAACTCTTTAAAATGAATAAGCAAAATGTTTGAGAAATAACAATAAAACAACAAAAGAAAACTCAAAAAGCAAAATTAAAAAGCGAAAAATGTTTGCAATTAGTATAATAGGAAGGTATAGGTTTACACTGAATGAATATCTTTTAGTCGCCGCTCAATTCAATGTAGAAGGACGATTATGCATTGTAAATAATGGTAATAATAACAATAACAATAACAATAATAATAATAACAAATAACAAATTGACTCTTAGTACTTCTTTTGCATTGAATATGATGCCACTTAAATCAATGCATTATCAGTTTATTCACTTATGCATTCATTTATACACTCCAAATAAACAATACCTTCAAACGGTGAACAAATGTTATCTATTGAATAAAACGTTGTTTGATTGTATTGAAGAACTTCACTGAAGTGAGCCGTCAGCAAGGATATGATGGCGTTAAAAGGTTTTGCTGCGAATGTGTGAATGTTTTCATAGTGTCCTAATCACTCCGATGCAATAGTTCGAGGAATAGTCAAGTTCTACTATGCTCCATCTTTTGAACTATTCCGGTCCATTTCTGCACTGTTCTGTTCTATTCCACTGCCGTGATGTATCTCCACTTTGTACAGCTATTCTCTTCAGTTCCTCGGAACAGAACATGAAGAGAACAGTTTAGCTGGAACAGAAACATTATTAGTTTAGAGGTAACAAATGAGCCGTAAGTTCGTGGTGTTGAATAAGATGAGGGTTTGCAAATTCTTAAAGCCAATCCAAGGCAAAATCATGATTGGCTCTGACCTACTGTTGTTCATAATTGAAATTGTTTAGTTCATTGTTTTTTTTTGTTTCGCTACAGATCACAATGTATAACAGCAATGTAATCGCTTGCTTTTAATCGATCTCTTACATAATAGAGTTGCTTTCGTCCCATATCAAACAACTTTTTGGTAATTGACTATCTGATTGGGGAAAAAATTATCTGGCCAACTCCAGCAGAGTGATCAAGAAAGCTAGAACCTTTGTGGAACGGATTTATGATAATGCTTGATTTATGATAACGCTCAATTTCGGACGAAAAAACAGAAGAAAAAAATCACTGGTTGACTGCCAATCTTGGTCAGCAGCTGTTATCGCTGAGGGGCAATTGTTTGATAATAAGATTCTAGCAGCAGTAACGGCAATTAGTGAAACAACAACATAAAATTAATGAAGTGGAGAATGATAGATCGTAAAAGACTGATTGTAATACCCACAATTGAGCATACGTTTGATTTATGATAATGCTCAGTTGCACATAGCAACAGAACAACGTCGTAAATAAATCATAACTGATAAAGTAGATAAGGTCAACAAATAATTGAATCTCACTTCATAGTTTTTGAATTGATCAAACGTTTGGTTCTATATTCTTAGCTATTATAAAAGCATTTGATACAATAACTTACTTTCTTTTATTATCCTGGCAGTTAATTAGTGAACAATTCTTCTTCTATGATGCTCCGATAATATCGAAAAAAGATGCATGAATGGATAGTCAAAATGAATTATGAAGACGGTAGTTTTTGAATATAATAAGCGTGTTAAATATTATTGATGTATTATATATGCATATATATATAATATGAATATTATTGTTATTATTATTTCTAATATTATTGTTATTATTAGTACTGTTATTATTGTTATTATTATAATATTATTATAATTATTTTGGCTATTAGCAATACCTATGAAGTGGTAATGAAAATCAAGAGGTGATATGCAAATAAATAAAAGAAGAGACAAAGTGTTCATTTCATTCGTCCTACTATAAGCGGCATCTGGTGCTCAAGGATTAACAGATAGTCTAAACAGTATATGCATATGTATATGTATGTATGCATAAATAATAACAATAATAATAGTAATAATATCTGAGAACAGCACACCTTAATGATGAGCACTAATCGAGAAACGCGTTAGAACCGTTGTTGAAAATGCTATATCGCAGTATAAATCCTCTTGAAAGCTGCTTAAAATCGTTCGTTTCTAGCAATAAAATAGTTAATTAGAACTAATCCATCCTTGATATGAGTTGCTAAAACAAGCTGTTCGCTTGTTCATTTAGCCGTTACTTTGTGTGATCTATAATTAGTCTCATTTGCTCTATCTGTACGTTTATTTATTTATTTATGTATTTATTCATATATTTATTTATGTATCTGGCCATTAACTCATTTATTATTCATTTGTTTATTTAATTATTCACTTGAGTTCCTGTTTGTTTATTTTGTTAATAACTTATTCATTTATTTACTTTTTCATTACTACATCTTTAAAAGAAACAAACTTAAATACCTTTTTGCCCGTTGACCCAATATCACTGTAAAGCCATAAGTTATTCAAGCTAACCTTTAGAACAGTACATGATATACAATATGCAAACTGCTTTTTAGTCTATAGCAATGACAGCATCCGTAGTGACTATAACAATGACAACAATAATTACAGTAATATTAATAAAAGCAATAGTAATGATTATTGTAATGACAGTTTTTTGTTTTCGAGTATTCGTTCACTGTTTATATAAACCTTGCTCGAAATACCATTCAAGTGGGCTACTACTTATGCCGGTGAATTGTTTATTTACACACAGTTGAGCAGACAGAAAGGCAGATTTTTTAGTGGCGTTCAACGAACTAAAAACAAACTACCCACCTTAGTTTGGATGGTCGAACCTTGTTTGATGATCAGTTCTCATCTCAGTCATCACCTCTATACGTCTTCGTATCACTTCTTTAATATGATCCTTTTAACTCTTATTCGAGGTGTTATGGATTATTGGATAAGCAAATATTAGTAAATATGAATATGGCTAAAGAAATAGACAATAATATTCTGATGGGTTCAAGCAGTCAGTGATCAATTTTCGTTTACGGTAAGTGAAACATGCTTGTGTTAGTCGCTGAGAATCACGTCGATCATACTACCACACATTACCAAAAACGAATAATTTATTGACAAAATAACTACGAAACCTACGGATATTCGTCTCAATGATAACAACAATGATAGTGATAACAGACGCTTCAATGCCAATTTTGTGATTCTTTCAGTAGATGTAATTGTTTTTGTTTGTATGTATCACTTATTGTTGTTTTGTTTTTGACTTTATCGGATGATAGCATAAAGAAGAGACCAAAACGAAGAGTGACGACGATCAACAAAAAACAGTTGTTCTTAAATTGAAGAAACTTCAAAGAAACTCTGACAATAACCGCAGGCTGAAATATTAGGAGTAGTACTGTGAACTGTGAAGTGATGTTGCAATCATTGCGCATATTCATCGAGCAAGTTATCTATTTGATATGTGATGCATCGCAAACTTGAAAAAGATTTATGAACTACCAAGAAACAAACACCGCTCATAACACCACTATCGAATGTTTAGCGCAAGCTGAACCAGGTGAAAATTGATATGCACGAACACATATGCTTTTACACTTTGCATAAAATGTTTCAATCTCTTCCTTGATTCACTTTATTTTCTCAATATCCGCCTCATATATACGTCAAAAACAACAGCAAATTTATAAAGCATCACTTCAGAAAGCTTTTCTTCATTTCTATACCACCAGTGATGACCACTCAAGTTTCATCTAAACGCTGCATAAAACATTTTCGTTGATTTGTTCAAATGAAACAGATCAGAGTTCGCCTTACACACGTATAATTATGTAGACACACATATACGCGCGTACATGAATAATACGCATATGTCGAACAGATAATGATAAAGATTGATGACTACACGAATTTCTTCATATCTAAGCGGAAACACACACGTATGTCACCACTACAAGCTAACTGTGCACGAAGTCAAACATATCACAAAAAATGATCTGGTAATTGTTGCGATTTACAAATGCCGCCGACCGACTCTATAATTAGTATCTAGATATATCTGTCCATTTTGCTTGCTCATGTTTGCTGATCGCATTTCTATCATCTCATCGTTGTCATAATCATCGTCATGTTGAGTTCATCGTAAATACATGTTGGTGTATCAAATAAATGATAATTGATATGCGTAAACATAAACATGTGATGTGTGAATGTGCTCCGTTTCCTTTTCATCACATTACTGTCAACGTCAGTCTGGAAACGGTCAGTTTGCGTCGTCGGTAGATACCATTATGTCGAATGGCCTATAGGTGTGTTCAAACGTCAAAACTTGCACACATAATTTTATTCGTCTTATTAGCATATACTTGCTTAAATATGTACATACATACCAAAAGTAAACGAACGAGTAAATGAACAAATAAATACCCTTAATTTGCATAGATTTGTTAACTGATAACCACGCAGATGGCATCATTCACCAAAGCGAATTAGCAAAAATCAAACGCATTAAACAACGAATGCAATGAAACATCAATTCAACGACGAAATCAAAGCAACGGAGTTATCCTGTAACCTTGTTGAACGAACAAATAAACAAATATAATTAAGCAACAGATTCGTAGAAAATATCACAGATAGAAAAATCAGTGTGCGGAACAAAACAGGAAGAATAGGATGATGATTGATTGGAAAATGAGAATTCTGCCTCACCAGAAAATGTTTCATCTAGATTGGTGACAGTTTATGATCGAATATTGAGGTAGATCAGAAGGTGCTATTCAACGGATCGAAAAGAACAATTCATCCAGTGTCAAATGACATTTTGTGCCTAGTAATTAATCATCTTGAATAATTTCATTATAGGACGCGTGAAAATTACATGTAAACTTCACTCATGAAGAATTAATAGTGCCTTTAGTAAAATATCGTGTAACTGTTTGTTGAGGAGCATGATTAGATTGTTGCTGTTGCTGTTGCTGTTTCTGGTGTTGTTGTGCAGCGTAGAATCGCATAAACTCTTCATTTGGTGAGTAAGGGAACTGAGGCGCTGTCAGAGCCGGAAGTGGGGAGGAGAAGTGCTGCTGCGGTTGTGAAGGAGAAGGTTGGGTATGAGGATGATGGGCTGAAGGGTGATGATGAGCAGGTGGAGAGTGTTGTTGTGGCATCAATAAAGTTTGTTGTGGTTGCGATTGAACACGAATGAATCTCGAATCTTGAACAATACTTCCATACGTCATAGCAGCCGCAGATGGCAGTCTGAGTGCGCTCGATGCTTGATAAAGCGGTGAGGACGTCGTATAAGGTGACGACGACACGTACGCTGATGGACTCATGAAAGGTACACCGATTCGAGCAGCCATTGGCTGTAAGAATGGCGAGAATAAGGCTGCTGCAGCTGCACCTCCATATTGCTTGAAAGCATCAAGACGAGCTCGAGCAGCTGACGATGGTCGTCTTCGTAGCTTACCGGTGGATCCGCCGATAAAAACCTCGTCCTCACATGAAGCATCCAGCATCCAATAGTTACCTGCAGAAGAGATCAACTGACGATTGCTGTTTGTTTAATGTTCTTGCTGGTGGTTTCATGTTTGTTGGTGCTCATGAGAGATAATTTGATCTGTTTTAGTCAATTTAAAGAGCGACAAATTCAGCTCTGATATCTGTTTTAGTCAATAAAGCCAATGAATTTAAGCTTTGTGAATAAGTAAAAATACCAAATAAATATAGCAAATGAGTGAAGAAGAAAGTAGTCAGTCATTTCACCAACCTTTACCAGGATCATCATAACTACGTGGAACTTTCACGAAACATTTATTCAGTGATAAATTGTGTCGAATTGAATTTTGCCATCCTTGTTTATTATCACGATAGAATGGATAGTTCTTCATAATATATTCATAAATACCACTCAACGTTAAACGTCTCTCTTTGCTGTTACGAATCGCCATCATTATCAATGCGTTATAGCTGAACGGCGGTTTACCACTCTCATCCACCTATCGAAAACAATTATACAGAACTGGTAGTGTATCAATAAAAAATATGAAACTCTGCCAAATTGGACTGAAACCTTTCTAAAGATGTTCTTACTCGGCACTGTAAACCAAAGGTGATCATGATGAGCGAACAGTACAAAGTTCCATCTAAACGAAATACAGCAAACACTCACTTTTCTGTCCTCTGATCCTGCATCAGAGACACTCTCTTCGATACCTTCATCGGTTAGATCTTCTTCACTTTTACATGATTCATCGGCTATAATCACGACTTTTATTGCTATCTTCCAAAAGAATCCCCGAGAGTGAATATGTTTAATTCTCATTTATTCAGGTTCGCGGCGATTATTTTGAGATAATATCATTTTTCAAAGAATCATACAAGAATTGGTATTAGTGGTCAAATAAAAAAGAACAAGAAAATGATGCTGCTTACATTTGGAACATGACGTAGGCCGTTGGTTCGATGACTGCACGACAAGATCAGGACATAACTCGGATATGCTGAATTTAGCCATATGGGATTGAAATGGTAAAAACAATTAAGCTATTACTGCTTGTTTGCAAACGAGAATTATTGCTGCAATGAATGTTAGACTTCTTTGTTGTTTAACACAAATAGCAGTGATTATCAACTCATAAGAAAACACGATTAGTGAAACTCTAAATAACACATAAGAACAACAAACGTTATGATGATTCGTTGATACGTTGACGAATCTTATTGCTAGGGGTAATAATAATATTTGTAATATTGATAATAATAATAATAATAATAATAATAATAATAGTAACATAATAATATAATAATAATTACTATTATTATAGAGATAATAAATGACTAGAAATATTACTGATAATGTGCAGGAGAAACGAGATTCGTTCAAACGTTCAAAACTACCTCGAATACATAATTCTTATTATTGCTACTGTTATCATTTGTATTGTTGTTAGTGAGTGCAAAAATGGTCAGTGGGCGGAGCACTTCACAAATATGGGCGTGTCAAAGCGATTACGGCTATTGCAGACAGCCAATGAATGATTGGTGAGTACGGTAGGTGAATGGTGTGGTGATTGATGCGCAGTTGGTTGATTTATCGTCGGCATGTTGTTTGTAATTCGGGGGATGTTGATATAAGTCAGAGACCTTTGGCTCTTCGCTCGGATTGTAGGCTACTTGATAAACAAGAAATAGGATAGCAATGACGGCAATTGTAAAAGAGTAATTTTATCATTATTACTATTATTATTATTATTAGTGCTATTTGCAGTGCTAATATTACAATTCTTATTGCTGCTTTCATAATTCTTATTACAGTCAATATTATCATTGTTATTATTATTACCATTATTATTATCACTCATGTTATTATTCTATCACAAAAACAATCCTCAAGCGCGTATTTCATTGTGGAGTTATTCAGTTAGTCAGTGTTTCACATTCATTTGTATCTCCATGAGAAACTAACCTTAGACGGTATCTTAAATGTTCACTAGCACTGCTGAACGATACTCAAAATATTTGATACACAAGAACACATCATTACTATGACTGCGGCAAATAGAGCTAATTTGGACGGCTTAGTGGGTCGAAGTAAACAACTGATGAAGTGTTCAATGCAAAAAAGAGAGTCTGCATATGAAAAAAAAACATAAAAGAAATGAATAAAAATGAATCAAAAGTGTTGGTGATAATAATATGATAATAATATGATAATCGAACAGCAACAATTCGCGATAATGCCAGTTGAAAATGAAATTTGCTCGAGAAGGCTTCAGCTGGATGAATGATATATGCAACAACGTTGTTACAAGTGAAGATGATGAGACTAATCAACAGGTTGCTTGCCCTTGTCAATCTAAAATGCATCAAATCCACTTAAACATAATCTTTTGTTGCTTCAATTCGAACATCATCCCTCAAAACAATCACTAAATCTACATTGTTGTTATCATTATTAGTATTATTATTAATGTTATTATTATTATTATTGTTATCGTTGTTATTATTATTATTAGTGCTGTTATCATTATGATGATCATCATTACAAGTTTCTGCTATCAATATTCTTATTCACTATTATTGGCATCAATTAAGTACGTTATCTATCAGCTAATCATATTAAATTGACGACTTCAATTAACATTTCTCGAAAGGGTTGCATTAAGATTCAAAATTTAACGTTCTCTAGATCCATCCATGAGCCGCACTCAACATTCATTATGACCATCGTTGACGAGTGTGGTCATGCAAGAAAAAAATCATTTTTCATATGCTCGCATTGATACAAACAGCACCAACAACAATAACATTGATAATCAAATAATAACAATAGCGATAGTACCAGAAATGATAATCATAGCAATAATAATAGCTTGAGTAATAATAACAAGAAGAAGAAGAATAGCAATGAAAATAATAATGGTTACTATAATAATGAATATAAGCTTCATAAGCGTTCAAAAATGTGTTATGTTTATACATAATCAGATGAATGTTGAATGGATAATTTGGCTGCTTATCTTCACCGACACATTGTATAATGTGCATATTCAGAGAATCTCTTCTATTTGACTTACACAATAACACTTCACAAGTAGCCAATAATCGTGTTCGTTACGTCTAATCATCATAATGGGGAATTATGAGACTATCGTCTTGAACTTCTGCTCTTAAATTAAAACTGCAAGAAAATTCGACTTATTGCAGGCGTGCATTTTCTTTCATATATTAACATCGACCAACTAAACTGAAGTAAATCTTATCGAATAGCATTTTAAAGTAAGGATTGTCGGTAAAAATCATTCTCTTAAGAGTGGCAAAAAATATAAACTTCTCTATCACGTTGAGCCGACCCATTTTAGGTGTCGTATTTACATCGGATATCGATAAATAATCCGAAAATTGCTCCTCAGTCATTAATTCTTTTTTACATGATGGTATATGGCAATAATGTTGATATGATCACCATTATTGTTCTGCTAGATCATCGCTCCTTTTATTGCTGTCTACCACTGCTATTCTCTGGCAATTGAATTTGATCGGTGCTGAGAAGTGTCTTTCCATCTATTGCATTGTGTACGGAAACTGATCATGATTATACAGAAAGCATGATACTGATATTGTGAACACAATTGAAAAATTAAAATGAATGATTTGTTTGCTTCAAAGAATAATCTATTTTTAAGTGTTTATTGCTTGGTTGTGTCATTGATGAGGCGTGAATATTTTATGCTATTCATCAATAACATGCAAGCGTTAATAATTGCGAAACTGTATTCTTCTCTCATTGACATGCATTTTACGGACTGATCAAAATTTTGGAAAGCAATTCCGTTGTTGCATGCAAGAATTTGAATCTATATTTCAAGAAACCGAACATTGACATTATATTCTATTGAATTCAACTGAAAATTATTGTCTAGAATTGCTGTGCAATAAAAAAAAACATTTCAGTGAAAGAATTTACATCATAAACTTATTGGTCTCTAGAACTTCCATAAAATTTCTTTTCTCAAATGGCGTTTCGGATATAGACAATTTCCAAAAATTGATGTGTTGCATACAACTCCAATAATACATTCTACTTTTTGGTACCTGTAAACGCTCACCTGATGACCAGTGTTACTAACTAACGCCTGTTTTTAGAGTGAATTCACAAGTGATATCATCTTTGTTTTCAGTGTTCTACAATAAGTCACAGTGGTCGAGTTTCACTGATGAAGCTCTAGCAAAAATTCTCAGAGAAACACAAAATTGGTTTGAAATGATAGCGATGAATGCTGTCAACCGTGTTGTGATTCATCTCTAGCCCTAATGACCTCATAATTTTTGTTATTTTCAAAAAATAGCATACTTCCGTATTGGATCACCGGTTTTCTTTTGGAACTTTTTTTTGGGGTTTTTTCTCATCATTTTATGTTTGAATACTGTTCACATATTGAAAATGGGCATAGTTACGCAGTTTTTCTTTGTTCATATTATAGCAAATCAACGGAACGCAGTCAAATAAATCACTGAACAGATTACTATCCATCGTCTATCATCAAGTTCGTTTGATTACCCCATTACCATCATCTTGAAACGTCGTCGTGGGAAGGTGCACTGAAGCGAATGAAACAAATGAACACCGTGTATGAAATATTCATTCATACATTCATTCACTTGAACTGTGAAAATTTTTTGAATGTGGACGATTTTTACAGCAGTGAATAGATAAATGCAAAAACAGAGATGAAATGAAGTAGATGAAAAGACGTTCAGGCATATTGTAGGAAATACGAGTGTATGTCCCAAAAAGAACTGCTCCTCTTCACGAGAAATGTCAAAAGCAGGAGAAACAAGACGAAATGAAACTAGAATAACGCCTCTCAGAAATTAGTAAATTCTCGTTTCGAGTAATAAACCGCAAGAAGAAGCTACCGGATCAGCGATTCATCGAAAACAGATTGTTGTGCTAAAATGAATTTACTCTAGATATAAATACTGATATACGTTGTTGTATATAAATGTATGATGCTGTGGTGATGATTATGTGTCAATCCAATGGATTAGTTATAATAACAAACTAAGATTAAGGACTATCACTCATTTAGTTATTCACTTCGAGAAGAGTCATATGAATAGAACAATCATCGTAACAATAACAATATAAAATAGATCAGCAACATTTGACCAAAATCATCAGAATTTCATTTTATAAACTGTTTAGCGAAGAATCAAAGTGATGAATATTATGCATACGTACGGGAAAAGAAAACTACTGTTTATGAAATAATCACTGAATGTTTATTTTATTGAGGAAATGTTGTGTTCATCACATGTATCATGTTCTCTGTTTGAACTCAACTCCGTCCTGAGGCTTCTTCTGCACCTAAGCATTCAGTCGAATTTTTTTGATCCACCCACTGGTACACCATAGCTAAGGCATGTCTGAATACGCTTGATTGAAAATGCTGTATGGCTGAAAAGTATTCAAGGTCATGGGAAATATTCCTTATCAGTTACAAACTTATGATAAAATGGCCGGTTATTGGTAGCTGATAAGGTAGCGCATAATTAAGGAATGACTTTCTAAATCTGTCTCTCTGCTGACACCATCCGACCGACGGCCAATCCAAATTTCGGTCGGAATTCAAAATTCGGATTGCGACCAGTAAACTCGTTCTGTTTCCATGTGATGCTTTCACATAATCGGATTTAATGTGAAGGAATAGAACAATAGATGGAGTTGTGAGATGGACATGCTTCAAGCGTACCTTAAAGCTACACTAGTTTATCTGATACGGCAATTTGGACATTGAGTGCGAGCAATCGATAAATACAGTATGGAGTAGAATGATGAGTCTTTTGCAGTGGCTGTGATCGAACCAACTGGGTTCGGAAATGATCACGGTCATGCTCAGAATCATGTGAGAGAAGATTGCGAATCAAAAGAGTTAATCTGTGTATTGTAATGTTTGTTTTGTTAACCATTTTTATTGTAAGATAGTAATAATAATAATATGTTGCTGTTGTTGCTCACATAAGATTATAATACAATAAAATTGAATTGGTAATTTACCAGAAAGACATGAGATGACGATTATATAGCACTTGTGTTCACATTGATATGGGATAAGAGAGATCAGATCCATCCGTATGGATGATGGTGCTGTCATCAGATACTATTCAGTTAATACAATTCAGCTGAATGTTGCTTTATCTGTCTTATGAGTGAATGAAACAAAAGAGATCAATTTGTGAGATTGGAGATTATTGTGTTGGGTTAGGAAGTACAACAGCATAAATAGAGAATAGCATTCTTCTGCACTTATTTCTATCACAGATTCGCACTCTAGGGGGTTTAAGGTGACAAATCACTTTTGATGAGCGTACTGTTTTTGCGAAAGTTGATTGAGGTATTCGGTTGATTGGATCAGATTAACTTACATTCAATGATGGAGTATGATATCCAATACATTTCAAGAACGACTTGTTATTATTAAGATCTAGGCATCATTAATGATATTACAGCCATGTGTTTATGCATGACAACGTAAGTAGTTTGCAATTATTTAATTCGAATATGAAGATGAAATTTACTTTTTGCAAAACAAGAATATGAATGCGAACTGCTAACTAATAATTAACTGGTACAACCGCTAACTTTTACAACTTCTTTTACAAGCATAGCAATTTTATGCGATAACAAAATATTATATCAGTAGGTGGTATATAATGTGCTATTTTTTATGACTCTTCAAAAGATTTCTCATTGTTTGTTCAACACTCTGATTTTCCTCTTTAGGATCATGAGAATCACACTAATCGTAAGCATAAAATACTAACCCATCAATGAAATGATCTAACGAACACTTGATCAAATAATCGCATCACTAAATTAATCACGTAAACAACTTCTTTGATCTCCTTGAGCCTTCTCAAACAACCAATAAAATCTATATGTAAACATGTCATCGTACACTCCAATATTATATCAATGGAATATTATTTGCTACATTTCTCCGCAAATTGATGCACTGCTAGATGACCAAAAAATTATGATTTTTATGTAAAGTGCGTTGCAATAATTTATGCAGACAGGCTTATTGTCAACATAACATGGCATCAACATCAATATTTTGATAACCAACATCTTCAAATCTATTAATAATATGACTATGAGTATTTACTTCCAACATCGCCATACTCTTGAAGTAAGCAGTAATAATTTCACTGTACCCGGTCAACTCAGAAATCAACACTTTGATTTACGCTATTTATCAACCAAGATTTTGAAACTGAATCATTGAAAGCCGAATATTCCACTTTCATATACCACTAATCATCAATTGTGATGATTGTACTGTTCGTTGATTGCTATACTAGCATGTTATTAACAAATGACAGATAAGTAGATAGGCAGTTTTATTGTTGCTATCATTGAAACAATAGCGTTAACAGATATCGCAAACAATAACTTAGCCATCACTGAACATGTAAGATAGCCCTATTCATTGTGCGTGAATGGATCGGCCCTCTAGATGAGATAACTTCGATCGTTGAGCACAAACGTTTCACCCTGATAACCAGTACCACTAGGCGTGCTACTGAAACGATTATGGGCGTTTGGTAAACACAAATGATGAGTGATGGCACCGTAAGAATAGTTGTGTGAAAGCGATGAATGCCTCCTTGAATTGACTTCAGTAAAAGTGGCGTTCGGAGAAGTGTTGCATGCAGTTGATGGGGTATGTGTAGCACAGATTTCATCGGAATTCTTCTCGACAGGACAATTCATCAGTAGCATCATCCGTTCCGCGGACGCCGATCTGGATGACCAGCGTGATGCGACTTGATGGGATTTTGATTGATGTACAGCCACTCGGTGTAACAAGTGCTGTTGATCAAGCACCGGTTTTTCGACACTTCTTAGACCCGTGTTTAAGGCACTTTGATACATCCTTGTTCCTCCCTCGACTAACAGCGAGTTCTGGAAATCAACCTTTAAAGCAATAATTTTCCATTGGTGAATCGAACCGAATTGCATAAAGAGCCTATTTGCTGAATGTAATATTACATTACAAAAATTATTATTACCAACCTCAGTGGAACGTTTGCCGCAAAGATCATATGAAAATGACGTATTGTTGGAGCAGTTTCGTGGCATACCCCTCCAGCCTGATACACTAGCGTTATGCTGGCCAGGAATTAAATCACCGTTCGTCACCTTTCTGATCGTTTGATAACCAAGACTGTCACTGTTCATCTCATAAACTAATGGTTTCCTGTAGAGGCAGCGATCGTCAATTAGCACCGAATTCATTTGTGGAGCTGACGATAAAAGAACCTATAACGTAATAAATCGAACTTCATATGATTGATTCATCGTTGAAAGGGCAAGATTCAGTGAAAATTCATTAGAACGAATCACAACAACGAATTATGCAGGTGCATCACATTGACAGGTGAAGCAACATGGAGAAATTCTAACATAACATAACAGAAACGACGATGTGAAAAGAGATGAAAGAAACCTGACTTGATTGAATTGTGATTCAGTGGAGCCATCTCGTGCGTGCGCCATTGCTGGTCCCCAATCGATCACAACCTAAAATCGTGAATCAACCATTCAATCCTTCATCCCAAAATACGACAAGAATGCTTACATAACTCTTTGAGTCCTCATAAAGCACCTTCATCAATGCAATAGTGTAACAGATAAATAACAGTATAACAGAAACTTCGTTGTGTATCGATGCGTGTTTGCCCGAAATTCAGTAGCTATTGCGCTAACATAAGCATTCTGTTGAATTTGTTAGCATGATGAAAGTGATGATTAAATTATGTAACTTAAACGAATAATAACAGATAATTGGATAATAGGTATAAGCCGGATCATAGCCTGGCTCAGATGCTGAACAAGATGCTTAATTAAAATGGTCTTACCCGATTTCTACGTGACCTTCGATCGTATCTGCCAAGACTCGAGATACCACATCCTAAAGCAAACAATTTGCATTCATAGCATATCTCACACAGAATTTTTACTTTGAATCCTTGTTTACGAACACGCATAACACAATCAATATCCCTCTAATACATTCAAAAATGACATGAAAATATGATCTCAGTCGTTATATGGGAGGATGACGCAATCGTAAGACAATG